GACAGTGGGTGGTGTCCCTCCTAGGGATAGATTCCACCCATGTGAAAGCTTCCAAAAATCAGTGCGAAATGGCATCACGGCATGGCACACCCCCTTTGGGGAGGGCCGGGGGCCTTATTGTATTAGTCTGGATGCATCCGGGGACTTTCGGCTTGTCAGGGATTATGCGCAGAGCTCGCCCTCTGTCTTCTGCTTTCACCCTGAAGGCTTCGGATTTCATATTACCCGATAAAGAATGTTCTATAGTTGGGTCAAGTTGACTCTGGCCACGGCATTAATTGTGGCCACAAATAGGGACGTCGCTCAGACCACGCTCACCCAGGGTCCTGGACGGGAGAACTGCTGACGAGCCGTGTAAGTTCCTCGACGCTGGCAACTAGAAAAGTTAAGCCCTTCACTGTTCTTCTTAGGGGTCGTCTAGATAGTACATTGGTTTCCTTGATTCAGTAGATTGTTTGGCAAGTTCCGAGAGCTCGGCGCCTGCGATAGGAGGGGTAGGCCATCCCGCAGTACACGCATGCACCACAGGCAAGATATTGCCTACCTATCGGGCGCTATGTGACCTTGCTTGTGGGTGAACGTGGCAGTTTCGTTACGGTACATATGACGGATGCACATTCTGGTCGATCCCACCACAACAAGTGCCATTGTGGGTTAAAGAACAAGTTTATTCCTGAGCACAAAATTAATTTTGTGGTCCAGGTCTCCCTTGATTTCCATTGAAGGAAAGTACTGTATGTCATCTATTTTGGTTTTAAGGACAGTAAATAACAAGTGTTTGATATTTCCAATGTTCTATTCATCTTTGTTCCATTGAAAGAATGACCTACACACGAACCACACACAAACAGCACAGGGTTAGAATTTATATGACATTCAGTGTGCAGCCTTTTAAATTTCATTTAACAAACACAAGGGACCAAACAATCAATTAGGATCTTTGTACATTAAATTGCAATATTATTTTATAATATAACCACAAGAGTAATTTACAAATTTATAAATGCAATATTTTTACAATATTTTGAAATTTATTTTTATATAGGATAGCAACAATGCTATCAATAAATAGAGAGGCATCCTCTTGGAAGCCACTATCACCTAAACAGGCTCCAAAGGTTTAAAATAACTTTTCATTGTTTTCTAACATTATCATTCTAGTAAAATTAATTTTTATAAAGCTGCAACAAACTTTGGACAATTTTTGTGTTCTTTGTTTAAAAAAAAAACCTTGGCTGGAGCGCCTATTTAGTAGGCGATGGGTGACACATTCCAAGGAGCTTCCTGCAAGATGACTAGAAAGATTTTGTTGTGCCACAATAAAGATCAAAAGAAGCACCAGGCAACTTTGGCAATAAATATGGACATTGTTTTTTCGTATACATTTATCTTCCCAAACTTACCAATTCAACACTAAAGTTACAGTGCTTGTACTTAGACAGGCAAGATACTGAGAAGTAATATGATGAGAAAATATAGGCATATATCCTTGGAAGCTCCCCCATCGTCTTCTAATGAATGAAACACTATCTCTGTGCAGTTTATGAAACAATCACAGAACAAACATTTTACTAAAGTTATCTGAGGGAGAAGAATAAATGCAACTGAAGTTGATTGAACATACCATGGTTGTAAAAAATGGTTTGATGCTTATCACTTAAACTATGACCTCGGCAGGCACATACACACATTCATACCTATGGATAAAGAACAATTATTAGGAAGATGAAGAGGATTGTATAATGGATTTTCTAAATACATCTTCTCTTGCAAACAAAAATCTAGGGTGAAACAGCAGAATAAGGAAGATGCTAGTCCAGAGTGAACAGAAAACATCAATGGACATTTTATCCTCAAAATAAATACAAACACAACTAGAACATACTATTGCAAATGTAATGGTACCAGCAAAACAATGATAAACACAGACATTGTAGAAATAATAATGAACAACATGTAAAAATCAGTACTGCATCTATGGTAAAACAACAAACGGAATGCAAAAAATGAATAAAATATTATTGGAGGAGTCTTGACATTTTTGCACTCATGACGGTGCTTACAAAGACTGCAAAGTAAACACTAAACTCTCTGTTTTGCTTTTAGACGAAATAGAAGAGACAAAAAATAAATTACAAGTTTACTGATTCAGAAAGGCTTTCCAAAGGAGAGAGTCGCTTTAGAATCAATACTTTTCACTATGGGCACAACTTTTTTCCTTTCACGGTCCTTGTAATTAATTATTTATCAGCACTTTCTTGTTGGTACAGAAGAGTTTCCCGACAAATAAAAATAGCCTCTACCCTCTTAACACACAGCTATTTTAAAGCATTGAGGAAATCTTAGGAATATTTATAGTTCTGAGGGAAACAAAACAGCACAAAAACTTATGTTGTACAGGGATATAGTATGGCATATTTTTTTTCTACTGAAAACAACACTATTGATCAATATGTAGTGTAAAATGGTATATGAGTTATTAAGAAAAAAGCAGTTACACCCCAAGAGACATTTGATTGAAATATGACAACATTAGAGTTGAGATTCATGATTGAGTTATGGACAGCAAAATTACTTTTTAGCATTGCTTTCTTGATGAGAGGGATGAAATTAACAAAACAAGAACAGTCAACAAAGGATCCAAACTTAAAAAAACAGTATTGAATGCAACACAAGGTAAACTTTAACTTAATACTCTTACTTTTAAAAACAGCTGAAAAATCAGTCCATAATGGAAAAAAGAACAACTTTATACGAGAGTGACTGAAAACAGGGCAACAAACCTTCATCATACACGTGGAGTATACACGAGAGGTTTTCATAAGATCAAAGAGACACATTGATCAAATAGGCTGGCACTGGTTGTTCTGCAAGCTTTGATCACTTGAACGGCTGAGGTCTGAGCAAAGAGCAATCTTAGGATGCTATAGCCAATCATGCGATGAATGGACTTAAAATGGACAAGTGGAATATGATATATGGTACATAAACACGGATGGGGCTTATGTAATGGGCTATTGTACACAGACAAATTTTGATATCATACAGAAAGAAAAGCATGTGACTTTCAGAAGATAGTCTAAAACTATTGATGTAGTTTTTGCCAATATTTGAATTCTGATAAGCTCTATAAAACTGTGATGACAATGCCTTAACAAATGCTATCCATGTGAGATTACAATATGTATAATAAAAGAGGTACACTATAATACAGGTCAGTAACCCATATTAAAGTGCATTGGGCTATTGAATACTGATGAAAATGCGTATATGGTACAGTAAAATATCGCGTACAATCTGAGCTATTGTAAATTATAATACATACACAAAGCACAGAAATTGAAGGTGTATGGAAGCTTCAAATTCATGATGCTTAGAATAATGGAACATCGGGATTCATTTATTTTAGTTGTATAAACGGGTCTCTTTCATTTTTGTCAAAGGTGATATACTTTGTCAAAATAAAAAGACACATTTGTCTAAAGTGTCAGGGTTGGGCACACTAAACCAGAATGGGGTTCCAAAGTTACAAATTAGGATGATGTACTGTACAAACCGGAGTGCGATAACATGCAAGAGGAGACACCTAGCTATTGAGGACACATTCACACACCTTGCACACATAAAATTAAGTAAAGGCTTTTGAATGGATCAAATTAATTTTGACAACCAAGCAAAAAACCAATGAGAAAAGTGCTTGGTCATAACAAAAATTAATTGTGGAACTACTAAATCTATTTAGGAACTCATCTGCTTATCGCCCATAGTATTGTCATTTTGGTACAAAGCTGCAAACCTGCATTAAAATTAAAATAATCCATTCAACTTTTAAGAATGTTACCATTTCAAATAGACAATTTCAAAATTTAAAATCTGTTGTACCAATTTGCAATGATTTGGATTACTGAAACAAAAAAGGAGTGACGTCATACTTGAGCATTTCACTTTTCTGTCATTAAATATTTAAATAATCCAACTGCTACAAAATAACATTTCTCTCTGTACAGCTTAGATTTGTTAAAAGATACAATAAATATAATCAACTTAAATTAGACAAAATATTTGTTATAACAAAAATCTTATACATTTTGAATAGGGTTATTTCAAGTTAACAAGACAAGCTTTTTGATGACTAAGTTCAATATTGCTGGGGCTTGCTGTACATAGGCACACTAAAGCCCCGAAAATAAAAAGCAACACTTAAATCTCTGTAACAAACAGAAAACAAATTAAAGGAACTAAATCAGTACAGAATATTGCATACCTAGGTAGTAGGAACAAAACAAACCCAAATAAGGCTTTGTGATTCCGAATTCTTCCAATTCATACTTTTTGCATATAAAACGTAAAAAAATCTTCACAGCCAAACTAAAGAAAATATCCTGCAGTCTTCTTAGAGTTTACATTCAAACTAATGATTTACATCAGTAATCCTTCACAAAATGAAATAACAATTTTTTTTTCAAAGAGGACATAGATTTGATTGGTCTGAAGTGCTGAGTTTGAAAAATAGTTCTTGAACAGTAAGTGTTTAACACAGCTCACCAACCACATCACATCGAGTGGATCAAAGACTACCCATAACAAAACATCAAAGTCTCACTAAATAACAGTGGCGTTTCCTCTTTTCGTCTCCTTACTTATTATGTAACAAAATCAACTACACATCCGCAAGAGATCTAGGGGTAGGGGCGGGTGGGAAATAAGGGGGGAGGTGGGGGCGGGTTCTTCTGTACACTGAGCTACACGAATATGATACACAACGTAATGTTTGTGCTGAGTTCACAGCTTAGTTCACGGGCTGTTGTTGAGCGTAAAGCCTAACGCGCGGGGGTCACCGTGCAATCTTAAGGCTTGCTCCAGCCGCTGCTCCTGGAAGCGCAGGGCCTCGCTGAGGTCGGCCGCGGCCGTAGGGGAGCCCATCAGGTTCTGGGCGAGGAGGTTGGCGGCGTTGTGGCCGCCGTGGCCCTGGAGGGCGCGCTGCACGTGGTTGGCCCCGGCAGCGCCCTCCTGGGACGAGGAGGCCGCGGCGGCAGCAGCCTGGCTCACGGCCAGCCGGAGTGCGGCCTCGGCCTGCGACCTGCAGAGGACAAGAGAACAGCCGTGAGTGTCGGTCAGCCTCAGCGGCGCTCAGCGCCCGCGAGGTAGGCAGCCCAACTAACGCCACAACACTTACCTCAGGAGCACCTCGGCTTGCTGCATTCTCATCGCAGTAGCCTCCTGTTGCTGGTGCTGTTGGTGTTGTTGCTGCTGTTGCTGGTGCTGTTGTTGTTGCTGCTGCTGCTGCTGTTGCTGCTGTTGCTGCTGCTGTTGCTGTTGTTGCTGCTGCTGCTGCTGTTGTTGCTGCTGCTGTTGCTGCTGCTGTTGTTGTTGCTGCTGCTGTTGGTGGAGCTGAATCGCTTCCATGTTCATGGTCTGCCTCATGGCTGACTCCATGGAGCGCATTGAATCAGATATGGACGCCCTCATGGCAGCGTTCATGAGCTGCGCCTGAAGGAGGAGAGGGTCAGGATTAGACAGTGAGGATGGGGCATAAACGCACATGAACAACGCCCCGTGGGGGCGAATGACCTAGCGGGAGCCGTACCTGGGCATGGGAGACAGCGTCCGGGGGCAGCGGCGGTGACCCGGCGTGGTTGAGGTGCGGGCCCGGGCCCATCGGACCCGAGGGTGGCGGTGAGCTCATGGAGCGCATGGCGGCCGCCAGGTTGGCGACGGCCTGCTGCGCCGCCTGCGCCGCGGCCGTGGGGTCCAGGCCCGCCAGCGCGGCCATCCGACTCGCCGACTGGAGCTCGTCCGCGCCGAACTGCAGCAGGGGAGAGCGTCAGACCTCGAGCCCATGTCCACCACTACATTGGTGTCCTCGGGGAGCAAAGGGGGAGAGACTCACCGGACTCTGGTGGAGGTGGCCGTTGTTCATCCGGCTGCCGATGAGCTCGGCCAGCTTGGCGCTCGTCGTGTTGTTGTTGTTATTGTTGTTGAGGCCGAGCACGCCTGACTCGGAGCCGGCGCTCGACAGGCGCCCGCCCGCCGACGACGAGTCCGAGTGGGCGGACGGCGAGGCACACAGCGAGGAGGCGCCCGCCCCCGGGGGTGGCACCAAGGGGCCTCCGGGCCCCGCGCCCCCAGGACCGCCGGCGCCCAGGCCGCTCCCGTCGAGGGGCCCCGAGCCGAGCGGGGGGAGGGGGCCGCCCAGGGCGGTGGCGCCGAGCACGGCGAGCCGGGAGTCCCGCTCCCGGCGCTCCGCGGCGGCCCTCGACAGCACGTACTGGGCGGCGAAGGAGTGCTTGGGCTCCATCCGCATGTGCTCCATGTGCGTCAGCAGCCCTGCAAGCAAACGGCCAAGGCGGTCAGGAAACAGTCGGGAAGTTTCAACTTTCAAATCTCCCGCCCCCAACGCGCAGTATTTTCTCTACTTCATTTGAATAGAAAAGGGCGTCCCGGGAGGTGGCGCCATCCAGCGGAGGGTCGCGGAAAGAAGTGCGTGGGCGGGGAGGGAGAGGGGTGGGCGAGGGGTTGGGTCGGGGGTCGCCGCCGTCGGCGTCGCGTTCGTTCCCCGGCTGAGAGATGGCGCCAGCTGGCCCACTGTGCGCCCGCGACGCGGGGCTACGCGGAGCTACGCGCGGTGGGGGATGAAAAAGTTTGTCTCTTTCTCCCGGGAGAGGGCGCCACGGCGCGTGCTCTCCCCCGCCTCATCCTGGACCAGCCACCCCTTCATCTCTCTCTCTCCCTCTGCTTGGGCTGCTCTATTTCTTTCTTTGTCACTACCCCCACCATCACCACCCCTTTTTGCCTCTTTCGGGCCCTAACCTAACTTGCGCGGGGTATCGCCGCGCCCGTGCGCAGAAAGACCAACCAACAACAAAAAAGAAAAAGCCATCGCGAAACGAAATAGTGGGAGGAGCGTTAGCGTTACTCCACGCGGAGCTGGCGCGAGTCGCGGCGGCGCGGAGGCACTGCGCGGCCAGGCGCGGGGGAGGCAGCACGCAGCGCACCGGAGCGCGGCGGCCGGCCTACCGCGCCTCGTCAGGCGCTGCGCGGTGCCGCGGCCGGCCGCTGGCTTGCGAGCGAGCGCTAGCCTTCTACAGAGCACCTAGCTCGAGCACTTCTTAATTTGTTTCTTTACTGTTTTATTTTTTATTTGTCTTCTTTATTTCTCTCTCGGTTTTGTGTACGTAATTTAAACTCGTCAGAAAAATTAAAGAATAAAAGAAAAAGAAATTAATACCGAGGTGATGGTAACGGAATTCGCCGAGGATCCATTCTTACATTTAGCATGCAACGTCTCGAGCCAAAAGTTACGAACAGGAAACATTAAGAATAAGACAAGCATACTGATTAACTACAGCAAGAATACAGAACAAATTAGCGGTCAAGTGAGAAAACACAGTCGTCTACTGCTTGTCTCCACACGGTTTTTCGAAACGTTCAAGTTCAACTTGGAGAGGGTCCAGCCATGAAGAGTTTCGCAACGGCTGGGACGGCTGGGGCTCTGCGGTGATGTGGTGTTGTCACTCTGGTGGGACTGTGTGTCATGGTCCGAACGGGAGCACTCGAGTGGAGTGAATGAGGAGTGTGCAATTGTTTGATACAACCGGGAGGTAGTTGATACAACCACTTTTCTATTTCGGTATATCTGAGTCTCCCACTGTCACTATTAAGCGAGATGATTTATAATTATAATAGATCCCCAAGATTTCAGAACAAATTCGAAGGTTTTCAAAGTTAGATGCATATATCAAATTTAAGAATTTACACATTTACTTGAATTTAATACAATATTGGTTCTGGCTTCTAGTGCGCACTTTTTTGTAGACTTTGATTAAGTCGCCAAATGGATTTAGAAAATTCACTATAAGTGGTAAGGAAGATTTATGGGTTTCATCCCAGTCATAATCCTAAGGATAACTTAAGATTTCAACTTTTAGGAAAAGAGCTGAATTTAGAATAATTATTCATTCGAAAATCCTAAAATACATCGTTTTTTTGTGAAATATTAACAGACTTCTCCGATAGCAATATGCGCAAGCTTTCCTTTCGAAGTTCTTTGTAAATGACTCCCCAAATAGATCGACCCCTCTCGCGCACCTTGCCAGCGGCCGAGGCCCGCGGTTCACTCCACGACGGCCTCGACTCCCGCGCGAGAGCGAGCCTTGCCGGCGGGCCTGGCAACTCACCTGACTCGTGCGTGAAGACGGACTGGCATACTGAGCACGGCCACATCCGGAGCGTGCTGGTCAGCTGGGAGGCCTCGGGGTGGCACGCCAGGTGCTTGCGGAGGCTGCCCTCGTTGACGTAGTGCTTGCCGCACACTGGACACGGGTGATTGGCCGTCCTCCGCTTCGCTAGATACGGATGACCAGCAGGTGAGCGAAAGAAAAGGCAACGGTCAACGGGAGGGGATACGAGCAGAAAAAAAAGAATCTTAGCCTAGTTTAAGTGTGTTAGGGGCCGCCGCCGCGCGGGCGGCCACCACCAGAGTTACATCCACCATCACCACAACAACCTCCACCATAACGAAAAAAAAATTATATTTTGGAAATGAGCATGACGTTAGGAAGCGACAGCGGCACTGCGCACACACGGACACAACGACGAGCGCCGACTGCTGGAGCGAGCTGCTGGAAGAGAGCGGAACGAAGACTGTCCACTCCAAGTAGTTTAAAAACTTGGTCGTCAAACTCGGTGTTCAGACAAGCGCATACGACCGTATATATAGCACCTCCATGGTGAAGATAAGCAAAGTCATGCTACGAGCAGGATATACTACCTCATGCAATATGCAAATAGAATCAATTCACTGATTTGGCTCTAGAGTATCTAAATACATTTCATAAACGAAAATGCTTACAGGTATGTCTATTTTGTAACTTAAGTTAGTCTAAGGACTACAAAGTGCATGCGATTAAGAAATGTAGAAATACAGATGCATCTAGAACGCACAAAGTAAGGCCGTTTTAACAGGTATGGGTCAGTGGTATCCAATAGATTTGACAACTAACTTTACAATATAAAAAAAATGATAAAATAATTCCGAAACGACAGAAAAGGACACGTTGAATACAAAATTTCCCAAAAGTCTGATCATAGTCCTTTGATAAGATATCGTAGGCTGTAGTTCGAGTGGATGACAAGACCTGACCAGAACAGGCCAGTCATTGAAAAGACGCGACGGTTTCTGTCGATGGAACGCCTCAATGTTGCAGGTGGCTGGGCCGACAACAGGAACCGGAACAGGAACGACCGGAACGCCCGACAGGAACGGCCGGAGTGCCCAACAGGAACGGACCGGAGCGAAGAACACCTTCTTGCCTGAGACAACAGCGACAGACACACACACCATACCCATACCCAACGGCCTTACTCGCTAATAATACTCCCCAGAGATGCAGAACCCTGGGGCCAGCCCACAGAGCGCCACACGCCCGGGGAGGCGTCTACCAAGATATTTGAAATAGTAAAAGAGATACTTACTGGCAACGCCCGAGGCGTTTGGGTCTTTATGAGCATGTTTCATATGATCCATGAGGGCTTCGCCCCCTAAGAACAACTTGTGGCAGAGGGGGCAGGCCGTAGCATTCGGCCCACCGATGAGTGCGGCGTGTTGCTGCAACACAGGAACACGCAGCTGTACCTCCTGGCCGCAACAACAACAGCAAACACACAGCACAAGATTTAGTAAGTCTGTTCACACAATCATGGCGCACGACAAAGAGCAGCAATATCATGAAGGCAGGGCCGCCCACATCCCCGTGTCACACGCATCGCCGCTTCGCAGTCTTTTCGACAGTCCCCAAGACTGTCTTTACCAGAAGGTTTTTGTTATTGGCATATGCCGCCATTTCACTGTTTACTGCGCGCGAGGACGGCGAAGAGGCAGTGCGTGCGACACCGGTTGAAGGAGGCCTTGGACTTGCAATCCCTGCAGACATATGAGAAAAGGTCTGAAAGAGTGACAAATCCAACACACAACACCAACACTTTGCAGTCAAAGAAAGGCACTGGGAAAAGTATACAAAACTCAACACTCTGAAACTTCTGTAGATAGACATGATTAAGAGTGAAAGATTTATATACAATAATCTAAGCCGACCTTTCTCCGAGAAACGCCAGAGGGGCCCTAATCCAACAAACCAGATGTGAACATATGGTCTGATCGTTAATCCACGGGGAGAGTTACTTTAATAATTAAAAGTGCAATAATAACAGTGACGTACACTATAACTTTATTCTTATTACAAACATGTGAAGTAAAACTCCCCACATGGAAACGAATAAATACTTTATAGAAATGTCCCATTGGATAAATTGACAATGTTTAGTTTATTTTTCTTTCATTTATCGTGACAGACTTACTAGTATCTTTACTGCATATTCATGACACTTCCCCCAAGACAGTAAAGAATGTTTTCAGCATTGAACTATTTCAGAGATGTATTGATTGATCGATTATTGTGCGCCGAAACGCAAATAATAAACAAATCAGACACAACTTATACATTTTTCACGTGCAACGGAGCCTCTACTGGCACAAAATATACATGCTAAAACTACAACATGCAGGAAGGAGACATGCTACGAGGCAGATGGTGGAATACTACACACAATTCCAGAGGGTATGGATGGGGAGGGGTCCGCGCGGCCGTTTGAATAGAACCGCGCGATAAAAGAGACCCTCCCTCTGGCGGGGAGAGCGGGAATCACCACCGTCGGAGCCGGGCTCGGCGGCTCCGTCGGGCGGGGCGGCATAGGAGGCGGCGGCATGTGTTGCACACACAGGTCGAGGAGACAAACGCTCCCCTGCTCCATAACACACGGAATATGCGCCGGACGACACATCCCATATTTGGCTGTGCACCGCGGGAAGATTGCGGAAGACGACAGTCAAGTATACCATGCAAACAGCAAGGTTTCAAAAAAGACATTTTTTTATTTTCGTCTTCTGCTAACGATTACAAGAAAGCAATAAAAATGCGTCGAAGGAGCGAGAGGGTTGCGTAAAAGGAAAGCGGGGACAGAAAACACGAAGCCGAGGGATGCGGGATATACAGGCAAATAAGCAGTACGCCAGGAAATGCCTAGCGAATGCTGCTTTCTTGTCGCGAGCTTCGCGAGCTCGCCGGTCATGTGACATGGTACAGTGCGATGGCATACGGTCAACCCGTGCTGTGTGTGAGAGAGAGAGAGAATGAGAGAGGAAGGGAGAGAGAAGGAGCGAGCTAGCGTGCGTGTGGCTTGGCTACGCAGCGCCACTCCCCCCCCGCCGCCCCCCCCCCCCCCCCCCCCCCCCCCCCCCGGAGCCCCGTACCTCGCGCATCGCTCGCTATCCATATCAAGACATAATGGGAGAATGTACATATGAATCAAACATACTGGGACACACGCTGCTTGCTTGTGTCTCGTTATCCTGTACGGATACGTAAGGATAGCCAGCCTTTGCCTTTAGCTTTTGCCTTTGCTTTCTGCCGACCAAACGGATATATCGGACCGGTTTCTTATATACATGCCCGAGGGCCCTACCTACCGACGCACAAGCTCGTGCGGGGAGGAAGGTAAGGGGGCAGGGGGGCACACCCACATCCAACCGAAAGCTCAATAGGAAGTTTTGCGTGCAGGGATTTTTCAAATGCTTAATCACGCGACCCTGATCCAAAATGACAAATGAAAAATTCGCGTAAACTCGCATACCACCACGCATTTTTCAAACTCGTTGATCAGACCGCTGCAGCATCGGCGGGCTCGGGTTCGAGTATACCCGAGCATTAAAGCCCTTCCGACCGACTGAAGTGGATCGCCAAGCCAAGCCGAGCCGAGTCGGGCGAGCAAAAGAGACCGAGCCGAGCCGGGGCTCGTCCTGGCACAAGGCGCAGCCAGTGATCTAACGAATTGTGTGCGGGCCGCTCGACAAGCCGCAAAGCCCCTTCGGCCTCGGCTCGGCTCGGCCCGGCTCGGCCCGGCTGGTTGGGACGCATGAATAAAATCTCCGACAAGTATCGGAGATCGAAGAGTGCATCTCGCGAGAGGAGAGGGCCGGCCGCGGCCAGCCATAACACACGCCCATTAGCGTACACACACACACACACACACACACACTCACACACACGCTCACAAACGCACGCGGCAACGCGCGCGATCGTTGCGAAAACGTACCGCAAGCAAACGCAATGAGTAACAGTATTATCCGCATTATTATTTTTCTCACGGCCGCGCGAGCCGGGCGAGGCGGGACGAGGCGGGGCGAGGTATAGGCAGGCGGGCGGATGACACTGCATTTTATTTCATTCCGAACATTCCGAAGTAATTATTACCGCGTGCCATACGGAAAACACTACTACTAGATCGTGTGTTATATGACGCTGCTGTGCGGGAGCAGGAGGAGGAGCGCGACCCGCAGCAGCGGCAGCACCAAGCTCGCCGTGAGTGTGGTGGAGTGCACCGTAATACCTCAGCAGCGGAGCGGACCGCGGCGGCGCGATCCCCCTAGCCGCGGGTGGTATGAGAAATTTACGATGAAGCAAAACAGTTTTGCCCCAACACGTACACAAGGCATACGGCACGACCGACCACGCAGTGACCCCCTGCACCCTCCCCCCCCCCCTTCTCGCACCAGGGAAGAGGGGGTCTTGCACTAGATGGCAGCCGAGTGATACCAAGGGGAAGGGGAGCGCAGGGTAGAGAGAGGCAGTGTAGGGACGAGGGGCGTCTCTCTCTCCCTCTCTCTCGGCCGAGGATCATTCCTACTGCTGCGCTTATTCTTTCTTATTTTGCGGGGGCCAAAAAGGAGCTGGGGCGCAGGGGCCGTGTTGGTGGGGTAATTAGTGGACTCGCTTGCGTGACCAGTCCCTGGGGCGTGGCGGGGCGTGGCGCACCCTTTCGAACTCGTTCTCTCTCTCTCTCTCTCTCTCTCTCTCTCTCTCTCTCTCTCTCTCTCTCACTTTTATTTTGTTTTCTTCGCGCGGGTTCCGTATTAATCCCGGCGGAGGACGCGCATCACGCAGACGGTGCGGCCTTGTTCCGCACGCACAAGAAGCAGCGGCAGTCGCACATCCCCACCCGCGGGTGACAGACACCCTTTCCTCGGGCTTCTTCTCTTCCACCTCCTCCTGCGAGCTGCGCTCCCCCCCTCCCCCTCCCCTTTTACCCCTTTTCCACGCTCGGCCGAACTAGCCGGCTCGTCGTAGAGCAGGTGTCCAATCCAAACACCCCGTCATTTTCGAACCGACCTGTACTTTAGTAGGGACGTGATGTGTGTTTTAAATCTCCCCCCCCCCCCCTCGACCCTCTTGCACACCGTGAAAAATATCTTTGTAAAAGTTACAATGTTGCCACGATTTTGATTTACAAGGGAAACTCTACGTTTACGAAAGGCATTAATGACAAATTTACAAACTCCAAGTTCGTGCCGCAAACAAATTGAAATGGAACATTACTCCTCCACAGCCGACGCTATATAACTAGATTTTCCCTGTGTTTTTATCTTTTTCCCTCTGGCGCAGCGGGCGCCGGCCATCGCTCGGAGGAGAGGGAATGCCCCCGGTGAGCGCGCAAGAGGCCTCCCTCCCCCCTCCCCCTTAGTCCTTCCTACGATTCGCCGGGCTGTCAATACAGTGACACAATCAACAAATCAGCGATCGAGGACTCCCCCTCCGCCCCCCCCCCTTCCTCTTCCTACTTCCTCGGCAGGAAACAATAAAAGGAGAGAAAAAGCGCGCGCGCATCGCCCCAGGGGGTCGTCCTCTTGCTCGTCGCGGCTGGTCGGCGCCCCACCCCCCGGGCCCCGGAGCCCACCCGGACACAATGAAAGGTTACGGTTCACGGAAGAATTCTCGCCCCATCGTGTGAAATCTATTGTAGCAAATTGTAGCCATTTTGCACCAATTCATTTTTTCCCCTCTCTCTCCACTCGCGCGCGCGCGCCCTGCTGCTTTTGTCTCTGACCCTCCATCTTTCGCCTCGTTAGTGAAGAGCGACGTCTTGGAATGTTTTCGTTTCTCTCTTTTTTTTTTTTTACTCCCCTCCTGCTACTTTTTCTTCTTCTTGTTCGCGTTTTCCTCTCCGCCCCCGCGCGCCGGGATTTCTTATTCCTCAGCTTTTAAATGGCACGCAATTATCACTCCGTGACGTCATACCATTTCTACTGATTTACTCCCCCCCCCCCACCCTACCCCATCTCCCATTCCGCCCCTTCCCGTGGAGGTCCTTCGCAACAGTCTTTACCTAAAAGAAGAAGAAAAAAGAGCATCGCGAGCTCCAACAAGAGAACAAACAATCTTGATGTTTCTTGCCCAGATTTCAATTCTATTGCTTTTTTTTAAAAGTATCCCTGCTAGGAAACATTCCCTCCTACAGTATCTGAACGTGATTCGATAAACTTAACAGATATTTAACGAAGAATGTGCTTTGTTGGTTCAGATGAAGGTAACAGGGTGGGCATGTTTTGGTGAGAGGGAAGACCAGCAGCAGGTTCCAGGAAAGGAAAAAGGACCAGGGTGGGGGGGGGGGGCTAACAATCAGCGCACCTAGGCGCCACCGTTGGCCGGCCAGCGTGCAGCAGCGGCAGCAAAAGGGCCGTTTCGTTTGTCATTGTGGGCGAAAATGAGCCCCCCG